TGGGTTGATCTGGTGGGAGGTGGTGGAAGCAGCCTCCTGCCGAGCCTGGCCGCAGGGTGGGAGGCAGCCCCGGGCCTCTTCACCAGTGGCTCCCAAATGCTGGAGCGTCAGACAAGACGAGCGGATGGGGTGGAGGGTTGGGAGGGATGACCTTAAGGGGCCACACCTGGTGCTAGGTCCGGGGCAGGAGGCGGGTGTAAGGCTAGAAATCCCAGCCCTGTCCTGGTGTGGAGGCAGACGCAGAGCTGGTGAGCCCAGCAGACACCCTCCTGCCCTTGGTGTAGGGCACTACTCGATGGCGGGCCTGTGGTCAGTGCTGGACCGCACAGAGGGCCCCCACTGGGGCAGGAGAGGGGCACCCCCTCCCACAGTGCAGGAAGGCTGTGGCTGCACCGGAAGATGAGGGGCGGAATTCAGGGATGGGGCCTGGGGCAGTAGGTGAGCCCAGCTACCTCCTCCTGGCCCTGTGGGTGAGGCCAGGCCAGGGCTCGGGTTTCAGCGGGGACATCCCCCTCCCCGGCCGGATGCTGAGGAGATGGCTATGCCTTCCTGCTGCCCCTCCCCACACCCGGACTGCTGGCAGGAAAGTGGGAAGTGGGGTCTGGTGTGTGCCCCGCCCAGAGCTGACTTCATTCCTTAGGACCCAGGAGATCTGGGGTCCCCGTGTGCCCGTGCCACTCCCTGGGGGTGACCCGGGGCCTGCGTGTCACCTGCCCCCTCTTGTCTCCCCTGTGGCCTGGAGGGAGGATCTGTGGTGCAGACGTCAGGCCCACTGTGGACCTGCCCTGAGCACAGCGGGCTGGATCCACAGCCACCTGCTCCCAGCCTCAGTTTCCCAGTTCCCAGCCTGGGTGAGCTGGGCTGCTAACCTTGGCTCTGTGTGACTCCAGGCGGCTCAGGAAGGGCTGTGGTTCTTTTCTAAAAATAACTGGTCGGGTGCCGGTGTGGAAGTGCTGTGGCCTGGACGTCATTCCTGCCCCGTAGGGCCTGGGCATCCTGGGCCAGGTCCTCAGAGACCTGTCTGGGACTGGAGGGCAGCCTGCCAGGCCCAGGACCCCAGGCTGCTACCAGCTGGCTCTGCATGGGGAGCCTGCTCACCCCTGGCAGCACCCGCAGAGGAGATGCAGAGGCCCCAGTGCCACCCCCAGGGCAGCCCCCATGCCTCTGCTGCCGGGAGCTGCCCCAGTGCGGGCCGTCTGTCAGACTGCCAGACAGCGGCCTGTCTGTGAGGTGTGCCCCACGTAGGCTTTGCCGAGAGTTGGGTCCTTGGGCAGCAGCAAGGTCACACCGAGCCCCCAAGGTCACACAGCCAGGATGGCCAGAGCTTCTCCCCAGATCTTCCCGGTTGCCGCCGTGGGTGCTGGCGCTCCTGGGCCACGCTCCCTGGGCGTGGCTGGGTCTGCCTCTCCCGGCGCCTGCTCTTGGGGCCTGGCTCAGGATGAGTCCTAGAATAGCTCAGGGAGGAGTGACAGGGCAGCTGGAGCTGACTGTCAGAGCCCGCAGCCGGGAGTGCCTGGGACTGGGGGCTGGCCGACGGGCTGTAACCTCTGCCTGGCTCCGAGGTGCTCTGGTTCAAAGTCCTGAGCCGGTTGGCTCTGCGTGTGGGGGAGCACTTCTGCACCTGCCGCCCGGCTCACAGCCTTGCCCCCGCGGCCCCCAGGTGCAGCTACGGCTGGCAGGGCAAGTTCTGTGATGAGTGTGTCCCGTACCCAGGCTGCCTGCACGGCAGCTGTGTGGAGCCCTGGCACTGTGACTGCGAGACCAACTGGGGCGGCCTGCTCTGCGACAAAGGTAGCCGGCGGGCGTGGGGCGGGGGGGTGCGGGGGGCGGCCTGCTCTGCGACAAAGGTAGCGGGGGGTCAGGGGTGGCGGGGGGCGGGGGCAGTGGGTGGTAGCCGGTGGGCGGTGGGCAGTGGGTGGTGGGCAGTAGGTGGTGGGCAGTGGGTGGTGGGCAGTAGGTGGTGGGCAGTGGGTGGTGGGCGGTGGGCGGTAGGCGGTGGGCGGTGGGCGGTGGATGGTAGCTGGTGGGTGGTGGGCGGTGGGCGGTGGGCAGTGGGTGGTGGGCAGTGGGCAGGGACACCCTCAAGCTCCAAAGCCTGTTCTCTGAGAGCCCTGCTCCTCTCCCCAGACCTGAACTACTGTGGCAGCCACCACCCCTGTGTCAATGGGGGGACCTGCATCAACGCAGAGCCCGACCAGTACCACTGCGCCTGCCCAGATGGCTACTCCGGCAAGAACTGCGAGCGGGGTGAGAGGCTGGGCAGTGGGCCTGGCCGGGCGTGGGGTGAGAGGCTGGGCAGTGGGCCTGGCCGGGCGTGGGGCGAGAGGCTGGGCAGTGGGCCTGGCCCGGCGTGGGGTGAGAGGCTGGGCAGTGAGCCTGGCCGGGCGTGGGGCGAGAGGCTGGGCAGTGGGCCTGGCCGGGCGTGGGGTGAGAGGCTGGGCA